GTTTGCCTTTTTATGTGTATGATAAAACCCTGAGAGGTGCCCAGGGTCATAAAAAGAGGTGGTGGTAGAACAGAGCCAGGAAGCAGGTTCCCCAAATCCCAATGCAGGGCTGTGAGGTCAAGTGGCCAGCATCATGCCAGTCCCCTGGACCATCCCAGGCAAGATGTCTCCACAGGACAGCAGCTGCCACACCTGTCCCTTCAGGCAGTCAGGAAAGACTTTCCAAAAGGGAAGACTTCCCCCCACCTTCATGTGCCAAAACTCTGAGTTTCCATGGTGACAGTCAAATTGCAAATTCATCCAGGGAGGGGGGGGAGGGGCGGGGAGCTGGCCTATCCCCAGAGAAGTGGGCATGGCTGGCGCTGGGGCTGTCCACTGCTAAGGATGAAAGCTGAGCAGAGTAGAGCAGCTCCTCTGGGGGCATAATGGGAAAATCTCAGGGATGCCGGTTCCCCAAGCAAGTGGTCCAGGGGCTCAGGCCGCCAGAGGGGGAGGCCCTCTGTCCTCCCTGCCTCATGGCAAAGCCCAGGTGAATCCTTTTGGTAATGCTCCTTCTCAAGGAGGCTCTTGGGACAGTCTTCTCCCTGGTGTTTTCCCATCTTCAATCCGAAAAATCGGGTGTGAGCAGAATACAAGCGCTCATCACCGAGCCATCCTAGACTCAACCTTTGGGGAATTAGAGGGGAAAAAAATCAGACTTCAGACACACAGAGTGTTTTGTTGAGGATGGAGGAGCAAGGGCCAACAGATTTATGAGCCTAAAAGCTTTGTTAATAGACCTGGAAGATTTACGATCACAGCTGCTGTGCAGGGAGAAAGGTGGTGACGGCAATCGAATGGCAAATTAGCCAAGGTTTGGGTTTTACATTTGGAGGGGGAGGAAGAAGAAAAACGTCTTCCTTTGCTGCTGGAGGAATATCTGGGTAAACGCCGTTTGCATTGGGCTGCATCCAGGGACATTCTCAGCAGTGTTTTCTTAGTGTGCTGCTTTCCCACTGACAGTAAGTGCCAAGGTCGGGCATGGACACTGCCGACTTCCCTTGATTGTTTCTTTTGAGTGAGGTTTGATCAGAGCAGATTAGAAATGGGATTGGGTTTGCCCCACAGAGCCCTCTAAGCTGAGGCCTGGACCCAGCTTGAAGTCCCAGACACAATGAGCAAAGATGCTTGAGCCAAGGGAAATATATCCAAAGGGAATGAGTCTTGTCAGCTGCCTGGTTCTCTGCCGTGATGCCTTTGTGAGCTCGTTGTCATCTGGGGCTGTTCCCCCCTCTATGGCACTTTAGGGTCTATCAAAGGGGACAAAGAACAAGCCACTGACTATAACTTAGGGAGGTTTCATTTTTTCTAAACATTGCGCAACATAGGCATCACATGGGACCTAACAACATGGCACCTGAACTCGCCTCCAGGGTTGGCGCTTTGGCCAAGACATACCCCTCACAACAGAAACTGCTCTCTCAATGTAGCACAGCACAGTCTTCTTGCAACGTAAGCCCACACCCACTCCTAACCCAATGCTATGACTAGGTATGACAGGTGACGGAAGGGGAGGAGGGTGGAGAAATGCGATAAATGAATCCTGAGACATCCTTTCCCATTGTCTCCTTTTGAGTTCTTGATATTTTGTGCCCTTTGGCATCTGCGCATTAGCAGCAAAGGATCCAGGCATTATTTTAACACCGTGGAGCCTTGTGTCCCCGCCGCTGCCCCTGCCCCACATCCCCCCTGCCCCAGAATTACAAAGATCCTGCATATCAAGCATGGAAGAGATGGAACCTTCCAAGTCATGAAGGATGAATAGGTTATCTTTCAGCATCTCTGCCAGAAAGATGGGGAAACCGACATGGAAATCAGTCACCATGCACTCTGCTGGGATTCCCACTGCTTAACAAGCTGCTGGAATTCCACCCCCACCCCCACTTCACGATGCTGGGGGTGGGCAGGGGGCAGAACGCTCCCTGACTCCTTTGCAGCTACTCCGAAGGAGACAGGGGAGCTGCTTGCTGCCTTCTGCCACCTCCCACTTTCTCTATCTGGGGACCCATGGGGTTATATTTAGTCAGTCAATGAGTCAAAAAATACTTAAATGCTTTATAAAACTGACGCCAATGAAGTCTGGTCTCAGTGGAATCTTGATCAAAGAAACCCAGTCCAGGATCTGAAAAGCAACTGCAAAGTAAATCAGGCCTTTACTTGCACTTCTGAAATACTATGAAGGGGGGCGTATGAACCACTACCCCTCCCTTTCCCAGTCTCCTCTTGATTCTACATCACAAAAACTGTAGAAGCCAAAGCAGAGTCTTGCTTGAGGGCAGGGGAGGGAAAGAAGGAGAACAGAAAGGGCAGAATCCTTGAGCAGAACAAGAAGGAAAAGCTGGGAACAACCACGTTAGCATCACTTACCCCACCCCACATGGATCAGGCTCTGCAGAAGGAGAAGCACACCAGCTTTATTCATGTTCCCATTTGGCCCCTGCCCTCAAGGAGGCTCGCTTTCTGCTGGGAGAAACACATGTACAGATATGTACAGCAGAAAGTGATTGGTGCAGTTGTAGTAGAATACACAGGACATTCAACTAGCCAGAGAGGGATTCCTGGAGGGATTCCTCAGGTGGCCACCTGAGCCAGGAGGAGAGCAATGGGTAAGGCATTCTGGGCAGAGGGAAGTGAGTCACTGCAGGAGGTACTGACTGGCAGTTTGGCAGGAGCTCCAAACCAGTGGGGCTGCAGGAGCCTGGATAGGAGAGCAGGTTGTATGGGATGAAGTTGGACAAGTAGACAAAGAGCAGGAGCTCGGGCTTGATGCTGAGATGCGGTTGTACAAGTAGACAAAGAGCAGGAGCTCAGGCTTGATGCTGGAGGTTATGGGGATGTATATGTTAGCTGGAGCATCCCTGGCTGTGTGGGATGGCGGTGGGGGAAGGGATGCCTATAGGTGGGGCCAAGTAGTTGTCACGGGAATCCAGGCTAGAGACAATGAGACCTCGTGCTCAGCATTGATTAAGAATCATTTAGGAGGTAAAATTGGTAGGACGTAGGAATTAAGGGAGAGGGAAGAGCTGATTAGTCATCAGAGCTTCACGAAGTACCTACTGTGTGCCAGCCACTCTGCTATGGAAGCACGGGGTTAAGAATTAATTAGAGCGAAAATGGTCATCCAGCTCCAACCCTCTGGTTGCTGCGGCTCCCTTAGCTGAAAGGTGACACAGGCTGAAGCCATGAAGTTTTTCCAGAAGGCTCTAGATCCAGGTGGAAGCTACGTGGCATAGTTCCTGCCATTTCCTCTCCGGTGCCCACACTGGATTTCCCTAACTGACCAGGCTCTCCTTCCTGCTGGGTGTTAATGCGGTCTCAGGATTCTCCTTTGCATGCTGCTCCAGAAGAGGCCCGGCAGATCAGATGAAAACTCTTAGCCACCCTTGGTATAGATCAATTTTGTTTCCAATCTCATCTCCCACCAAATGGGTCCCTACAGCACAGGGCTGTTTGACAAATTGAATAAGATAATACTCACTAGGTGCCTAGCACAATACCTGGCAGAAAGTGCTCCACTTCGCCTAATCTCCCTCCATAATCAGCATTTTGCATTCCCTGGACAAAACACTGACTCTTATCCCATTTGCTGACGTAGTTGCCTGTGAGAGCTGGTTACCTGTAATCCCAAACCTTCCTGTGCAGTTGTACTTGTTATTATAAGTACAAGGCAACTGACTGTAACTGACATCATTTAATTGAATGTTATGTAAATTGATAAAAAGAGGAAAGACACAGAGTCGTCTCATTAAAACCAAGACTTTGAGAAGTCTTTATAGAAACCACTTGCTTACAAAAGCTATTGAATTAGGTGTGGGCAGGACAAGTATAAAAAATGGGAGAAAGAAGTGGAAAAAGACATGGGCAAAGCCCTCACCTTGCTTTGCCCATGTCTTTAAGCTCTGCTCCAATGTAGAGACATTGAACCTGGGAATCACAGCACAACATGGATGCAGTTTAGACGAGAAAGACCTCGTGGGCCCAATCTCAAAGGAGTACCCAAGCCCTACATCAAAAGATTGGCAAATGGATGTACATTTCTATGCTTAAAATTAAAATAGAATATTCAACATGTGAATATATCCTGTATTATGACTCCCACTGGTGATAAACCAGCCAAATATGGTTCCATTTAGTCCAGAAAAGAGGATTTCTACCATAGTAGGTATTTACCATGAGGGCTGCCTCTCCTCTCTCCTCTCCTGGGATTCCAACCCCATCCACCCAGCTCCCTTCTGCATCCACAAGGCCCCACTCTGAGTTACTGGATGAACTAGAATGAAAGCCCAGGCCTGCTGGATCCCAGTTCAGTTCTTCCAGTAAATTTGGAGTGGTTAGGAACACAGTCTGTGGAGGGGAGCCAGCCTGCCAGGGTTAGAATCCTGGCTCCTCTACTTACTCCCTTAGGCGGCCGCCTCAGTTTTCTCACCTGTGAAATGGGGATAAATCTGTTTCCTATCTGACAGATTTGTTCTGAAGGTTCGGTGAGTTAGCATACATAAAGTGCCTAGTGCAGGTCAGTGAGGACTGGAATTGCCATGGCTACAGAGCATTGCCTTGTGCCTTTCAGCATGGGCAGGTTCAGGCCTCGGAGCATTTGTACTTACACCAAAGGGGATAATCGGCTTCTATCACAGTGAGAGGCTTCTGATTTCACCACAGTGGGGACATGACATGTGGAGATGACTGACCTAGGGGTGAGCCTTCCCTGCTGGTGCTGGTCATGCTGGGCCCAAGTCCCAGCCTCCTCACACCGAACTCACCTTTGTGACTGGCAGAAGAGTTCCCTGCTGTCCCCATCCCCAGGTCATTGTTCCTGTGCCCCAGACACAACAGCCAGCTAAGGTTCTGTGCCATTTGGGCTAGGCAAGAGGGATATCTGCCCTGGTCTCATCTGTCCAGATGCCGACTGGTCCAGGTAGCTGGTAGAAGTGACCTCCTGTGCTGGTGTCTGTTCTTTCCAGTGGTTTCCAGCGACAGTGACAGTGACTCGGATCTCAGCTCCTCTAGCCTAGAAGACAGACTCCCACCCTCTGGGGTCAAAGATCTGAAATGTGACAAGCCCCGCGGGGAATCAGGTAAGCATGGGAAGCACACTGGTGGCTTCCAAAGCCCCTGGTGCAGGTGGCTTTGCTGCTCCCCGGCAGGTGTCTGTGGAATTGTTCTAGACCAGGGAGGAGAAGTAGGCCTGGGTCTGGGGTGACTAGGAGCTAGTCTTAGCACCACTGAAGAGCAGGACTGAAAGGAGGCTTAGCTGTATATGCAGGTGTGGAGGAGGGTAGGTTCCGCAGCCTCCCTGACCCCCAGCCTGCACACCTGGGTTTCTTCCCCCAGCTCACTGTGAGCATCCCAGATGAAATTTTGCCTCAGGAGTGATGATGTGACGGTCAGATACAAAGTTCACTGAACTAGCTCAGCTCTGCCATGAAACTGCAGTGGGACCCCAAATATATACTATGACTTCTTAAGCCTCTGTTTCTTACTGTTTAGCACAAACAAGGTAGAGCAGGTGGTCTCCAGTGCTCCTTCTGAATTTAACATCTCTGAACTCTCCTCTGTGACCATATCACTTGAAAAAGAGTTAACTGAGGCCTTGAGGCTGGGGCAGAGAAGGCCTGGGGTGGGGAACACCTTTTTCTCTGCTTTAAACACATAAAGGGCCTTCCAGAGAAAAGACCAGTTTCATTCAGAGTTACTCCAGAGGTTAAAACTGGGATATTTGAAAGACATTGTTTAGGGAGGCTGATTTCAGTGCATAAGAAAGCTTTATAATAACTGCCCCAAACTGGAATAAAATGCCTCAGGGTTTTGTCCTGGGACCAAGGCTGGGTGATCTCCCGCCAGAGCTCACATGGAAAAAAAATCAGAGATGGCAAATGCCGAGTGCATGTACTTGAATTCCCATTCCTGTGCCCATGGCAGACATTACTAGTTGCTGATATGCTTTCCTGCAGAACCCGATGTGGCCTCAGAATGCTCAGTACAGTTTTCCAGGTGGTCAATATCTATAGGTGAAGATGATGCAAGAGATGAAAACTGTCCCTGGGCTAGATGATCTCTTAAGCCTCTCAAGTTAAAGATTTTATCTTAGGAAAGTGTAAAAGAAACTCATTTGCCAGCCTTGGTTTCCAGGACGGGTCTATACTCCTCTTCTTCCCCTCACCCCCCACCATAGCTCTTGAACTCTCCCTTCACGCCAACTCACAGCTATGACCAAGTGGGTCTAGAGAATAGGAAAAGATGGAGTACAGTATTATAGGCCCCACCTCTGCTCTCTTAAACCGGGCAAGGACTAACAGCCACATTTGAGTGAGGATCTTTTAGTTAGTAAAGGCAGCAAATAATAACCCCATTGAGTTTACTGGAATGTATACTCTTCTCCCTCCTCATTGCTGATTTTCATATTAGTGTCTTTACTTGTTCCTAGTGAAACAACCTGAGGGCCCATTTGGTGGTCTTTATATATCCTGGACCAAATCAGCAGTGGTCAGAGGGTGGGGTCATGCCGAACATGGCAGCCATGTGGGGGCAGGAAGTGGCAGTTCCCAGGGTAAGGGGCTCTAGGCAGACAATGCCGTAGACACCCATCACAAATCCAAATCAGAATGCTTTACATCAGCTTCTCGTCAGGCCGAGATCATCCCTGTCTCAGTTTAAGGTCTGAAGGGCCCAGCACTGAGTCATTCGGGCCCACACATGGTCTCTTGCAGGTGGCAGTGTGGAGTCCCCCAAGATGGGGCTCGCCTGCCTGCCTCACCACCTCTCGGGGAGCCAGAGCAGCCTGGCCAGCGAGACAGGGATGGGCCCTACAGACCCACAGAGGGGCACCCCACCCTGGCCGGACCCAAAGGGCCCCAGTAAGTACCCAGCCGCTCCTTCTAAACCCCCCACCTCCCCTCCCTCTTTTATTTTCTCTCCCCAGGACTCTCGTCCTTTCTCACTCAGTTTTTCCAAACTGGAAAGTGGTAGATGAGGTTTTCAATTCTCTGTGTTTACTGAGCGCTGTGCAGAGAAACAGAGATGAGCCAGACTCCACCCCTGACTGCAGTGAACGGGGAGGAACTAAAATAATAACGGTATTCATTCTCAGTAATTATAACATGGTTGTTACCATCCTCAGCTTTATAAAATATGTAATCTTTCAAAGCATTTTCTCATCTCCACGATAGTCACAGTAACTCCCATTTCGAGAGCACCTACAATGCACTAGGGAATCCAAGCCCCAATCCAAGCCCCTGGGCTGGGTGTGGTAGGGGACAGTTCTTGACCTCCAGAAGCCTACCATGTAGCTGAAGAAGCCAGATCAATACCTAAAACAGCCCATCCCAGGGCAGGCCAAATCAGAGAGAGAATTCAAGGCCACTGGAGCTGGCAGCATTGGAGCCCAGCCTGTCCTGTACTGCCAAGGTCAACTTTGTTCTGCTGGAGGAATAGGCAGGAAAGAGACTTATTATACCTGTTGGATGGGTGTGGAAACCAAGGGCAAGAATCCGAGCTACCCACCCCCATGCCCACTGTCCTGGCCCGGTCAGCTTGGGATCCATGATGGGGGGAGGTAGGGGGAAGTCTCTTCATACTCAAGCCAGAGATAATCGTGCAAGTGATGTTAGTCTCCTTCAAGAAAGAGTCCTCAACTGGACTGAGTGTCTCTGGGGCCAGAGCATCCACAGCACACATCACACATGGGTGGATCAGTGCAGCTGCTCATTGTAGGAGCCTGGGTGCACTAGCAGCCACCATCCAGAAAGTCACATGGGAGCTCTCAGTCACTCCCCATTCCCCATCCTTCCTTCTTTCTCCTCGCCTCCCCCCGCCACCGCCCTTTCCCATCTAAGCATTCCTCAGAAGCTACAGGGCAGGGCATGTAAAAGAGGCAGCAGGTAGGCAGGTCTCAGGGAGAGGGGTCCCTGTGGACTTGGCCATGAAGTGGACCCTCTGGTCTCCTGAAATCCTCCAGACAGTATAGAATCAAGCAGGCGTGAGTTATAGTCCCAGCCCTGCCACCCATAGTCATGTGAACTGGGGCAACCTACAATTTGAACCATGTGAAATTGCATTGTAATAGTTCAAAAATAGTCGAATATTGGCAATTTGTTATGATTCAACCTAATAATTGATCTCTCTGCACCCAATTTCATTGCCGGTAAAATGGAGACCACATCATGTCCCTCACAGAGTTGCAGGGAGGGTAAAATGCAGCATCCATGTGGAGTGTCTACCCTGAGTAGGTCTTAGGAAATGTCCAGTAATAAATGGGGGAGACTGTGTGTCCAGTACATAGAAAAGGTTCCAGGGCTTTAGAAACAACTTGAAAAAACTTGGCCTAGAGGAACGTTTTATATTCCCATGTCCATGTGCTCTTTCTGGCATCGGGAGGTCACTTGTATTAATTATCCCAGGTTTCAATGGACACAATGAAGCATGGGAGTAGATGACCTACCTGCAATGATGCGGCAAAGGGGAGCAGAGGTCTGCCCAGGGCGCCAGCCCCCAGCTCTCCCAGACAGCCCCCGCTTAGTTTCAGACAGGGAAGCTGCCTATGGTGTGGGGCTGTTCCAGCAAGGAACTTGCCTTCCTTGCCATCACCTCCATTTTATTCCCAAAGGTCAAGCTGTCACCAGGGGGGGACCCTGCCTCTGCTCACCTTATAGTGAATGGCCTTTGTTTTTCCCTCCCCCAAAGGCAAAAGACACACCCCGGCGAGTCCCCACTGCTGATGTGGCCTCTGCGAGTCCCCTCTGCCTGCCCTGGGCAACGGCCTCTTCGATGCAGGAAGCAGACCTTCCAGTGAAGAGGTTGAGAGAGAGAGAGAGAGAGAGCACGCATATGCATACACGCTGGAGCCAGACCCTTCCTGCCTCCTTCCCGACTACTCCTGGAACCCTCACATCCAACCCTATCAGCTGTGACCTCCTACTTAACAAACCAGTGTTTGCAGGACTGAGTCTGCTTCCCCCCACCAGTGCCTTTCTGTATCCTTTCTCTCCTGGGAGCCCTCCTCACCCACCCCACCCCCCAGCCATTCCACTGAGCTATGACCTTTATTTATTGTCCTCCCCAACTCAGTCTACCCCATGTTTATTTTAAGTGGGCTCTCTTCTTGGGCTGGAAGGACGTCCAAACCCACCTTGTACTCCCTCCACCCGTGTGCACTGCAGTTTCAGAAGGCACCAGGCAGGCTTTCCCCATAATTCTATTAATAGAAGAAATCCAGCCCTCAGCATTATCCTTCAAAGCTGAACTTGGTCCCTAGAGACAAGCGGTGGAGGCCAGAGCAGGTGGGATGAGAGACTCCGTCACCCTTTTCCTCTGCCTGCAGCTCTGGGGAGGTGGGAGAAGCTCCCTCCCTCAGGGCTGACCCAGGAGCCGCTGTTGAAACCTGGCTCTTTATTGATTCTGGGAACCCCTCCGTTGGCCTCCCTGGGTTTTGCTCAGATTCTCCGCAGCTTGTGGAACTGAGAATGGTTCTGGTGAAGACCGAATTCACTCACTGAAGAGCAGCTTTCAGCCAAGTCCCCAGCTGCAGCACGAGGCTCCCCTAAGCCATTAATTCACTTCTCTTCAGTAGGTTCAGTTTGGCATAAAAAATATTTAATTCAAAGCACGGGCAAACGCTTCTGGAAAACCTTTCCCCGAAGAGAGAACGTGTATTTATGTGCGTGTAGGTGTTCGCACCCTCCCATCCTTCCTGCCCCCCGCCCAATGCCCCATGCCTCCACCCAGTTCTCAAAGGGCCTACTTTTCTCCAGGCTCTTAGGCCCCCACCATTAGCTTTTTTGCCCTTGCCTCTAGCAGACAGAGGGAAAAAAAAAAAAAATCTCACTGCTTGCCTGTGACAAGTTATGCTTCAGAATAAAAATAAAGATTAGGATTTGCATTGAGCCAGTGTGTTGATCAAAAGACCACAATCGCTTGTGTTTCTGAGATGTATCAGGAAAGAAATAGATGGAAAAAAATGTGGTGCATTGATTGCTGGAGTACTTCCTAAGCTGCAGGGAAAGGAATGAGCTGGGTCCCTGTGTGTTAAGAGCTCACAAGCCTAACGTTGGATGGAAAAAGCAAGATCATCTATGTAAAAAAAAAAAAAAATTTTTTTGAAGTATACGTACAAATAATCAAAATGAGTTATACAAACATATGTACATATGTAAAAATGTTTATAAAATGGACGAGGACTTCTGGTTAAATGGTGGGTTGAACACACTTGTATTTCCTCTGCCCCCAAAACCTTGCTCAAATGACATAGAGAAATGAAAATGGCATCAACCACGAAGACAAAAAGAAGATGGCAGCAGATAAGAGAGATCTCAACTTTGGAAGATGGAAGAGTATAACTGGTTTAATTCCAGCTTCCACGACTCCCCCGAAACGTCTACAAGAGAGAAAGCCAGCCGCGAACAAGCCCATTTCCTCTGCAAAATCCCCCAAATCCTCAGAACCTGGAAGGACCAGGTATCCCTAAGGTAGAAGTTCAGGATGGGTGTAAAAATAGCATTGGTTGGAAGAAGTGATTAGACGCTCACGTCCCTTCTCCCAGCCTGGAGAGCTTTACAAACACTCCTGCTGGATTCACCCCCAGAGGTTCTGGTTTAATCAATTTGGGGGAAAGCCTTGACATCAGCATTTTCTAAAGCTCCCCAGGTGAGTCCAATGTGCTAACAGAACCGAGAACCATTTCCCTATAGAAACTTCAGGTGACGTGCACAGAATTTTTAGAGCAGTACCTTTACATTAGCTAAAAATTTGAAACAGCCAGTCACGGCCTGTGACTGGCCTGCCCTTCCCTCACCCTAGTAGAAGACAGGCTTGCTGCTGGTCGGGGTTGAACTAGAAAGATTCTGGATTGGGGACTCCAAGCCTTGCCAAAGGCTGGGGTGGTGAGGTGATGGTTAATTGGGAGACCCTCAGCCCCCTTCCCCTGCTAATAACTGGGCCTGTTCCCCATCTACCACCACCACCTCTCCAACCCTGCAAGGCAGGACATTTGTGAATGTCTCTCTGGGAAAGAGAGACAAATCCTGACGTTGGTGTTTCCCCAGTCTCTGCCCAGCACCACTGTGAGGCCCCTAGCCCACAAGCCCTGTCCATGTGTGCAGAGCTTCCTATTATCTTTGCTGTGTTGCACTCATAGTGGGAACAGCCAAGGGAAGGGCACCAACAATTGACCAAAATCAACCGCTGAAATACAGAGACTTCAACACATAGAAGAAAGGGGTCAGAGAACACCACTCTGAAGATATTGAAACAGGAAAGGGATGTTATTTTTTAAAAGGAAGTGTTAAAGCTCTTACAAATTAAAATTTCAAGGCAGAAATTTAAAAATGCATTCGAAGGATGGAAGATGAAAGAAAATATCCCAGAAGGTAAAACAAACAAACAAACAAAAAAGATGTGAAACCTGGAGGAAAAAGTCTAGAAAATGAGACAACCAAAAGGTACAATCCAGAAGGTCCAGCATCCAACTAACAGAATTTCAAACCAAGAAACAGAAAATAGAGGAGAAAAAATTAGTGAAGCAATGATACAAGAATACCTCCTAGGACTGAAGAAAATGAGCTTCTGCAGAGAAAGAACCCACCAAGTGCCCAGTACAGTGCCATCAAACCACAGCTATGTGTATGGCTGCCACCATCATGAGCAGCCATGTAGCAATACATGTAGATGAAGAAGCACATAGCCTGTAGCTGCAATGCAATGCCCACCACTTGAGGTCTTGCTAAAACAGATTCTCTCTCACTCAGTAAGTCTGGGCAGGAGCTGAAAGTATACATCTAACAAGCTCCCAGGTGACGCCCACACTGCTAGCTGCAGGACCATACTTTGAGTAGCACTGGTCTAGGGCAGTAGTTGTCACCACTGGCTGCCCATTGGAATCACCTGGGGAGATTTACAAACACTCCTGCTGGATTCACCCCCAGAGGTTCTGCTTTAATCAATTTGGGGGAAAGCCTTGACATCAGCGTTTTCTAAAGCTCCCCAGATGAGTCCAATGTGCTAACAGAACCGAGAACCATTTCCCTATAGAAACTTCTACGTGAGCCAAATATCAATGACGGTAGAATGAAGATATTTTCAGACATGTTTTTTTTTTTTTAAGGTATCTTCCATATATTCTTTCTCAGGCAGAATTTTTGGAGCAGTAATTTTTTATTAGCTAAAAATTCGAAACAGCCTAAATACCATGGACGGAGAATAGATACATAAGTGTGATATGGTTAAATAATAGACTATCATGCAGTGATGAAAAGGAGGGGCCACACTCAGCATAAATGACTCTCACAAACACCTCCAAGCAAAGAAGCATGGAAAAAAATATATTATGATGCCATCTATATACAGGTTTTAAGATATGCACAATGTTATATATTAACATATATTTTATTCAGTGAAAGAATAAAGAAATGCATAGAAAGGATAAACAACAGATTTCAAGACACGTCTTTAGAAGAGGAGGCATACAATTAAGGAGATATTTCAACTTTATTGGTAATGTTTTATTAACCTCAACAAATAGATGGGTTTGTAATATGATATTCCACTATATTTGTATTATTTTTATATGTCTGAAATCTTTCAAAATAAAAACTATAAGGAACTGTAGCAAGGCTTTTTAACATGAAATTTCAGGATACCAAGATAAAAATCCTAAAGGATCAGAGATTAAAATGGCATCGAAATTCTCAAAACAGATTTTGAAGCCAGAACACAGTGAAACAGCATCTTCTGAATTCTCATAGGAAATAATTTCTCATCTAAATTTTTATGCAGCCCAATATCAATGATGGTAGAATGAAGATATTTTCAGACTTTTTTTTTTTTTTTAATGTATCTTCCATATATTCTTTCTCAGGCAGCTGCTAGAGGATGTGCTCCAACCAAACAAGGGAGAAAACCAGAAAAGAGAATACCAGGGACACGGGATACTGGAAATCCAACACAAGAGAGGGCAAAGATTGTCCCCAGGATGATGGAACTGGCTGTGTGGCTGGACTGGAGGCCAAGGCCAGCCAGCCAAGATTGGAGCATGAGAAAAGAGGAGATATATAAGGATATACAAAAAGATAAGAAGCATGTGTGTGTTGGGGAGATTGTATATGATATCATGATATTTTATAATATATCATGACATAACATAACATGTAAAACTGAAAAATCAAGAAATAGAATCAGCATGACATTTTGAAACAAAGGTAAACACTAGCAATAGTGGCTAAGAGCTCTAAGGGTACCTAGAGAGGGACTTGAGTGGGGAAAGGATTTGCTGCCCTATATTATAAACTTTGTAGGACAGTGACCCTTTTTAAACTATATACTCTATTATATTTCTAACAATGAGATATTTTTAATGGAAAATACATGTCAAACTCAGGATAAACACCTGGGGTGGGAGTGAGAGCCCTGAGGCCATAGGTGAGCGGTGGGCGGGGGGCAGAATATATCCCCAGAGGTCCCTATATCCAAATATGCAACCTGTAAGGGGCTGGCGTCTCTGCTTTCCAGCTCTAAGCTACCTCTGTGCTGGAACCAATGTTCCCTGAGACTTCTCAGACCTGGTGTAGCAGAAACCCCCGTACTCAGCTCCCACCAGAACCCTGTGCCTGGGCCAGACCCAGTCCAGGAGAGAGACCCAATCCCATGAGCACCTGGGGCGAATCCAAAATGCATTTCCTAGAGATGTGTCACAGGGTTGGTGGGTTCTAAAGAAGTTTCATTAAGAGTTAATCTCAGAAGCCTTCAGCTTTGGCAAAGAGAGGGAATGCAGATTATCCCACGGGGGTCTGGGAACTGCCAGGAGTCAAGAGCTCCCTGTGGGCTGGCTGGTCTTGGAACCAAGAAATCTTTTCTTTACAAAAAATGCTGACTCTAAAGCAACCAACTTACAAATTAACTTGTGGAACTGAGCCTTTCATGGGGGCCGGGGGTGGAGGTGAAGGGTGTCATCTGTAAAAATCAGGGAGTACAGAAATGACTTGATTTGTCCCAAATACTGGTAGTTCCTAAAAGAGGCAGGAGGTGGGAAGCTCATGAACTTGGGACACCTGGTTTTAAATCCCAGCTTTACTACTTAGTACCTGAAATTAAGGGTACTTCTCTGTGCCTCAGTTTCCTCATCTGTAAAATGAGGATAATATTTCCTTCACAGGATTATCGTGGAAATCAAAAACCTGAAAGCACATGTAAAACTCCTACCTCCGCTATTAGTTATTACTCCCATAGAATTCAGACTTGGATCCTGTTTCGGGAGTTATAAGAACATGAGTGTAGTGTCTGCATGGAGCCTGGAGCACAATAAGCGTTCTTACTCTTCCCTTTGGGGAATAATGGTGCTCAATCCATTCAGTATTTATGGGGCAGCTGCAGGGTGCCAAGTGCAGTGTTAGAAGCTGAGGTTTAGTAGTGGACAAAACTATCATGGCCCATCCTACCCTGGTGTTAAGACACAGGTGGCTGCACCCTGCCCCAGAGCTTCTGGCTCAGAGGTGGGGCAGAGGATGTACATTTTTAAGTTCCCAGTGAATGCTATTATTCCCGGTTGGGAGACCACACTGATCTAGTGGAAGCAGTCTACTTGCATTTCCTTGGACTGCCGTCCCTAAACCGACCCAAGCAGGGGAGTAGCGGGCTGGTGATGAGAACCGGGCTGGCAGAGAAAACGCAGCCCCCGTAGGCCAAGAGGACCAACCCCTCAGGGAGTCCAGCTGCTGTGAACTGCCCCTAGACAGATGTGCTGCCCACAGCTGTGCCTTAGCCCTGGAGCAAAGAGCATCCACAGGCGCAGCAGGTGAGAGCATTTTCCCCCACAAAGGTAGCGGCCAGCATCCTTCTCAAAAAAGAAAATGCCCCTCTCTGACGTTGCATCTCAAGGTCCCCTGAAGCCTGC